TCCACTAAATCGAATAGAAAATGCTAGAAAAATAGCAATTGATAATAGATTTGTACCAAAGAAATTAAGTGCTCTTCCAGCAAGAAAAAAAGCAACAAGTTCAGATAATGATGATACTAATGACATCCAACCAACAATGGAATGTGATTGACATGGTGCTAGTTCATCAATATACAAATATATATACTAAAATTTAAAAGATGTAATATCCTCAATTAGGAAAAAAAATATATCCTTACTGGATCTAGAACTGCATTAGACATTCCCCAAGCGAATGCCAGAGAAAGAAAAATAATAACATCAATTTTTTTTAACATGCCCAAAAGTTTAGATAATGCACCTTGAGATCTACTCTTCTTTGTTTTTTTCACTTTCACTCTAGATAAATCATCGATTTGTATTTCTTCAACAATATTTTCATTGTGTATTGTACTTGGTTTTTGTTTGTTTGGTTGAATACGAATAAAACTTGTTACAATAATACAAATTATACTTGTAATAGAAAACATAATTATATAAACAAATTCTGTTTGAAAGATTTGATAAACACGACTTGCAAGAAATGCTGATATACCAAAACCAAGTGTACCAAAAACACGTTGTTGTCCAAATATTTCTGGACGATCTAAAGTAGCAAAACCAATTGATGCACCAAGAGCAATAGCATTATTTATAAGATTGTTTCCAATAATAAATAAAAGTGAATAGAGAAGAATAAAACCTATTTGATTAGCATAACGTGATCCATGACAATAATGTGCAATTGAACAAGTTATTTCACAACTAGCTAATTTAGATGAAATATCATTAGAAGGTAATAGATCTAAATAGAAATTATTTCATAAAATTTAAAGAATAAAAATTTTATTTACCAAAACTACGGTCTTCTATATATTGTTTAATAATTTGATCAATTGATACTCGATATTTAATTCCACATGTTTCTGGTTCACTCATATCAGTTGCATAATTAATTTCTTTAGAAAAATCTTTTGAATTCATTGAAAATGTAAAAACAAATGTTTTCATTTGATTATTATATCTATAATCTAATGAATCAATTAAAGTACAATTTGCTTGATATGAACATCCACATTGAGATCTTGATGCACATTGTGTTGCTACTTCTTGACTAGCACAAAAATTTAAGCTATAACCATATTGATTATTATGATATATATCAGCTTGTATATTACGTGATTTAACTGTTGGTAATATAAACATAATACCATATATAATAGTAGTAATAGCAAGAACAAAATTAAACGTTAATACATAACGACGTGAATGATCAGCAATAAAACCCATTAATGGATTTGTAAAAAACATTATAAAGGGAATAATTATATTAATATATGATAATTCAGCATTTGATAAACCACGATTACGTAATGTTATATTTAATATTGGATAAAGTATACCAAATGCCGAAAAAAAAAGAAAATAATGTGCTTTTAAAAGTATATAAAAACGATGAGCAAATGATAATGATGGTGATGATATTGCACGAGGTACATTTGCCGTTGGTATTAACATTGATGGTGATTCCATTTTGTTTTTTTTCCTTTTTGCTTTTATACAAAATTAACTTCAGATCTGAAATATAAATCAAAATATTTCTTACTTTCTATTTATTATAAAGATACGATTTTTGAAGTTAATAATAAACATCATATACATATGTTATATTTAGTCAAAATAAAGAAAAAGATAAAAATAAAAAGTTAAAGAATAATGATCATCCTTTGTTACTCTTTAGTTTATTTCGGGTTGAAAGAAATGAAAAAACTATTGTATATCTTAAAACAGAACTGTCAAGGCCATATTAAAACAAAAAAAAATGCTGTAGTATATCTAAGAAGGCTCTTATCTAACCATATAAAAAAAGAATAAAACCAAAGATAAACTTTGATCTGCATATTTTTCACTCATGATTATGACCTTATCATAGAGTAATAAAAAATAAAAAGAAAAAACTAACGAAATACCCGTATAAGAGCATACTAACGTACTTTGTTAGAATGTTTGAAAAATAACAACATACGTCTTTTGGATATAATGTCAAAGAGAGTAAAGCTGACAGAAGACAAATAAACTGATAGCAAATAGAATATGAATATACTCCATCTCTATTAAGTACTCACTTTTTTTTTCTAACATCTTCTCCATTAATGACAAATGTAAAGAGCACATTTAAATTACGTAGTATCTTAAAAATGGCTCTTTCAAAATGAATTAATAGTATAAAGAAAAAAACTGAAAAGGTACGAAACTTGACATGGTATCGATTACAGTTCTGCACTTTTTTCAATAATTAATCATTATATTAAATAGTAAGCATATAACGTTATTTTCTTTCGAAACACAGTTGGAGAACATATATTCTCGTTGGTTTTTTTTCATGATGGCAAATATAATAACAAACATATATTTGAATATTTTATTTTTTTAGTACAATATAATTCTAGATTTTCTAAGACTTACAGAATTTTTTGATAGTATTAGTCATGTCTCACATGTCTTTACTGACGTCAATGTCTTGTTTTTCTTTTTTCTTTTATTGAGTGTGTACGCATGTAGTCAAGCGTAAAATTGACTTTTATATACAACTCAATGGGTCATGTGATATACAAAAGAAAAAACTAAGTCTTAATTTTTATTGCAATATGAAATTCTTCTTTTTCTTTTTTATTTTTACAAGATAGTTTTAAATAAAAAAAATAAATACGACTTTTTGATATATGTAAGATACCGGAAATACAAAATTAAACTAGAGGTTTTTTTTTCTTTCCTTTATATCTGGTTACATGAAGCGTGACGAACTGATGAAGTATATTTGCATTTTTCCGCATGATATATTAAGGGAAATTTCCAGTTTTTTTTTAGATGAGCTGCCCTTTCAAAACAAAAAAAACAAATCGATTTTCGACAATTGAACAATGTTCAATTTTTTCATTTCATTCAAGAGTACGTCCCCTTTGAGATTCAAAAATTGTCTTTAAACGTTAAAAAATCAAATTTACGCAACGGAAATAGTGAATCGTATTTTTCTTCAACTAACTTTTTCATGAAAAAAAAATGCAGAAATGCACCCCTCTTCTCTGACCTAGTATATCTGATCGAGCTGAAATTTTTTTCACACATATCATACACTGTTTGGAATACGTACGTAAAGTTAGCATCATATTCGAGCTTTTTTCGTCTAGATTCGTTCTACGACTTCAATTATTTTCGGAATTGTTTGAGTTAGGTGCAGAATTTAATTCTGCATCGAATGGTACCAAATTTGACTTGGGTCATCGCCCAAAGACTCACTTGTATCCCGAATACTGCATTGTCGAGGATTTTTTCCGAAAGTATTTTCTGTCCGGATTTGCTTCATGACCTGAGTTAACTCTAGAAATGGTTGAGTTGGGTGTAAAATTCAATTCTGCGTCGAATGGTACTATTTTCAACTAGAATCATCGGAGAAAAACAATTGGTGAGGGTGATAGGGAAGAGGCAGAGTCTTCTGTTCGCTTTCGTCCTTACCGATATTTTTTGCTCAATGGCCCTGGTTGAAAATAGTACTATTCGACGCAGAATTGAATTTTACACCCAACTCAACCATTTCTGGAGTCAATTCAGGTTATGAAGCAAATCCAGACAGAAAATACTTTTGAAAAAGATCCTCGACAATGTAGTATTCGAGATATGAGTGAGGTTTTTGGTCGGTGACTCAAATCGAGAGTGGTACTATTCGATCCAGAATTAAATTCTGCATCTAATTCATGCAATTTGGAAACCAATTCAAGTCTTAGAACGAATCTGGACGAAAAAAAACTTGAATATGATGCTAACTTTATCTACGTTCACGTTGAGTTATTAAATAAGCACCTATAGAATATTTTTTTTAATTAAGATTCAATGTATTTCGATTAAACTATATGAACTAGTTTAATGATTTTGGTAATTCAAAGTCAATTTCTAACTGATGAGAAAATCTTGCAAAGTGTCTAATTTATTTTTCGATAGAGACGATGTTCATTTTATGAGTAATAGAGAAGTCTACAGTAGTTTGATTTTCTGGACTTTCATTCTTAAGCTATAGAAATTTTACTGAGTTTTTCCTTCTTAGATCACGTGGAAAACTGATTTTCAACTTCAAACTTTGCATGAACGACGTTCTCAATGAGATTAGTTGATTGTACAACTTTTAGATTTTCTAGTATTTCCTTTCTGAAGGTATTAAATTTACTTTTATACATGAGAGAATTTCGAATATTGAATGTCTTAGGATAGGAGATACTAGAAAAAGTTGCAAGCGAAACTCAAAAGTCAATTTTTCACGTGATCTGAAGGCGAAAAATCCTGTAAAATTTCGATATCTGAAGAACGAAGACTCAGAAAATAAAACCATTCTAGGTTTTTCTATTATTCACGCAATGAATATCATCTTGATGGAGAAGTAACTTCACACATGAAGAGTTTTTCTCATGAGAATTTGGAATGATAGACTTGATTTGATCTAAAATAATCTAATATTCGTAATTTATAAAACATTTTTGACGAAAGGCAATTAGATTGAAAATCTTCTTTTGAGTTCTGCTTAAGAGAAACCTTTCTAGCACTTTTGAAGAATGGTTCATCACAAAAAAAAGTTATCATAGACCCTAAATTCTAAAATTCTTCCTTCTGAGAGGTGTAGAGATCGCAAAAATTGAAGAAAGTTTTCTACTCTTCGCTCGTCATCAATGATAGATTGTTCGCGGAAGAGGTCTGTCTCTCTCATATGATTGTTTCAAATTGTCACATTAATGCACTTGAAAAAGCACTTTATTGGTTAGTTGCTATGAGCCGGTTCTTCTTTACTTTAATCACATCTACACGGTTGAGATAATCTACACACACTTCGACGTACACACACAAAATCGCCATTGCATTAAAATGACACATAACCTCTAAATATGAAAGAGGGCGTTTCGTGTCGCGAACGAAAGATATAAGTTTTATGTATATTATCGTTTGAATAAAATAAAAACGCGAATATAAAAATGTTTTCATTTTTTGGATTTCGATGTGATGTGAATACAATCTATCACAAATAATAAGATATTAACAATGAAATATATAAGTACCGACTTGTTTAAATAATTTTTCTGTCAAATTGTAGCGCACATAAAATAGTATTTCATTTATTATAAATGAACAAAAACTAGTAAATATTATTTTTTCTCGTTTATCATATTCTATTTTATGATTTAAAACAATTTTTCTAATACAATATCAATTAAAAATCAGTTCATTATCAGAAATAGTCTCTTGTTCTTGTAAACAATGTATAATCTATTACATCCAATTTCTTTCAGTTCCGGTAATTAGACTACTCATAATTTTTAACCTATGTGCACCAAGTCTTTGCGCAAAATTACCATTCAATGTTCAACTGATTTTAAGCAACTGAAGAGAAAAAAGTGGTCAGCTAGACTGAGTATTTCATACTCTGTCTCTCTATATATATTCAGATTTATTTTTGACTTAGATTACAGCATTAAGAACAAATATTTAGAAGGATCTAAAACGATGTCTGTGCAAAACTGTAAACTAGCAGGTCTTTATATATGCATCTACTTATGTTTCGAATGTCTAGTTGCCATTAAAGATAATCAAAACGAACTAATTAAAATCAGAATTTATTTTCTAGTACGTATATGTCCAGAATTTTTATCCCACCTCAGTCTACTCAACTGTGAACAAATATCTGAGTAGTTTAAAGATGTTACTTTCATCAAGTATGCTTTTTTCTATCTTATATAGGCCTTATTAGTGGCACCGATATCAAGTCGTTCATAATTTTAAAAGATGTTTTGAAGGCACAATAAAAGTATGTTCTTTGAAAGAACGAAATAAACTGAGAAATGAGATTAAATTATCTCGGAGATATATAGTCAAATATCCAAAAGAAATATTTTTAAGTGAATTTTCGATTAAGAATCTTTTATTCTTTCTCTTTCACTCTAAGCAGTCTACTTTTTTATTCGTAGAAACTGTAGACATATGAATCAAAGCAAGAAAATTCTATTTTAATGAAAATTCATTTACAGATGCTGGAAAATCATATTACGTTTGGCATCAACACTACGCTCCACTTCAGTTTTATCGACTACAAACAAACATACTTTGAGAAATCGATAGAATTTTGACGGCAGAAAGACATGAAGTGAACTTCAATTGCCCACCTTTATGTGAAGTTCGAGATGCTTTTCTTTTGTTGATATTCATGGAAGAAATGGAATAACATGGCTTTTTCATATAAAGGAAAAGTTTGACATTTATACTATGTTCATGAAGTTTTTTGCCGAATGTTGATTAGTTCTGATATGATTTAGGATATGAAAGAAATAATAATTCTAATATTAAACACTCACATAAAAGTTTATGTAATGAAAAAGTTACTATTTAATTAGAACAAATTTGTTTTCTATTCATTCATCTTTCAGGAAGTTTCTTAGCAAAAATCTCTCAACATTCAAATGTATTTAATTTAAAACAGTAACTAAGCAGCCCAGAAA